AAATTAATACATTTATTTATCCAGTGTCACCGGGTTCTAGTAGGTTAATTACTTACCTTGGGTTGTTTCCTTGTTACCAGTCTTACTTGTCTTTCATTGTGTCTTCTTTTGTTTGAAAGAGGCTTGGTCACATCTCATTAGATTCATTGCCTCCTTTAATTAGTTTAGCTGACTATTAAATCTACTGCATTATCAATTCCATGATCTCCCCTGTGACGAATACCATCTTTGAGGCTGCATACATACCTTAAGAAGAATTAGGATAGACTTTCACCAATAATGTGTAAGAAAATGTGGGTTTTTCCATTCCCCCCCCCCCAAAATCTGCCTTTCCCACTGAGTATCCTTTTCCTCTTCCATGACTCCTATCATCCTGTCACCAAGGTCATCATTGTCCTCTCTGTCATTATCACCATCACCACCAAGTCCTCCATAAATATATTTCCTGGCATATTGACCTACTGTTGTGATTTTTCAGATTTGAGCATCTCTCATCGTATAGACTGAGCCCTCATAAAAGCAGTCTCATCAGACCTACCCCCTGTTTTCCAGAAGGAGTTGAACCCTCTCTAGTCTATTTCCCACTTCGTTTCTTCAGATTTCTTTTGTTCAAACCTGCCTGTGTGCTATTCTCCATCTGTAACCTGGTCCCATCTCCTTATCTTTATATGGACTCTTCTACTTAAGGATGAAACTTTCCCTGTTTTCTTCTGTATAATTTCTATCTTTTATAAACTACCTTATCTGTAATCTGTACATCCTTTAAGTTAATTCTTAGTCTGTCTTTTATTCTGATATTTTATATTTTCCACATAGTAGAGCTTAATAAACATGTGTTGATAGAATGAATGATTTACAGTGTTGGCCTCAGGTTAGCTTGCAAGAGTTGCATGTCTTTCTCCTCCACTGGAAAGGGAAGTGGGTGTCCATAGCCGTATTTATATCCTCCTAGCACCTTTTAGAGTAAATCCCCAAAATAGACACTCACTGCATGTCTACTAATTTAAACGAATGATAGCATTCTGACAAAGACTAAGTGAATGATTGCTGTGAGAATATTGTTAAAACAGCAATGTTAAAGAATATGTAAATGCCTCCGAAGGTATAACTTACCAGTTCCCCGATCTTCCCACCTCAACTTGATATTCTGAACTCAATTAAGAAAAAATAAAGTGCTTCCATAGATATGGGAGAGAGATTAATGAGCTTTGGTTCTGAGAATTTGAAGAGGCAATTAATCAATGTGTCTCTCTCACATCGATGATTCTCTCTCCCCACCCTCCCTCCTTCCTTTCCACTCTCTAAAAATCAATGGGAAAAAATATATATCCTTGGGTGAGAATCAACAGAACAAAACAAACAAACAAATAAAGAAGTTAAGAGGGGGGATGATATTGAAATTTCTCTCCCAAATTTGTAGCATAAACTTTAATCAAGTTTTTTTCCCTTCCTACCACCATCCCTCTGCTGCCTCTATGTGTATACAGGTACTTAGAAGTTTTGATTCAATAATCAGTTCCAACTGCACGGAAGAGCTGGAGAATGCTGGCATAGAGGTCCTGAAGCACTCGCAGGTATGACCCAGCAGGCACGCTTACAGCCTTTAGTCGTGTGTCATGAATCACACTCTGTGCTTTTGGCTTCACCCCATTAGTTTTATAATAGAAACTCTTGTGTACCCAGTCAATTGATTCCTTCTAGTCAATTTCTAGAGTACTACCAATTCTTTTCTTTATTCTAAAATGCTATATTTCTCATTAATGTATTAATGAAGCCAAGGTATAAAATATTAGAAATCTGGTTGTTGAATTTAGTTCAGTTAGAACTAAAACTAATTCTTTATGCTTAGATGCCTTACTGAACATCCTTATTTTTCAGGTTTATATTTATTTTTCAGGAAATATTATTGTGGAATCTATTTTTAAAGCACACCTTTTTGGATTTTGCAGATGGAAAGAATTACAAAGTGCTTTACTTCTCAGGGAATCACCTAAATTTCAGAATTTTCCTGGAGCATTAGGCTTGTAAAAGTGATTATTTTCCCCATAGTTTCACCCTTTCACCATAGGCCACATCAAGTAAAATAATAAATGGGACTATCCTTTGTGAATGTGAAAGTGCTAGATTTGTGGTGGGATCAACATCAGAATCATCTGAAACCCTCACTAAACTGTGCAAGGCCTCTGCTCTCCTGATTTGCTCCCCCCCAATTCTGCTTCTGAATGTCCAGGAAGGAGCAGTGATTGTAGAGTATGAAGTTTCTTAGTGATGCTGTTATAGTCTATTTCCTCTTCCCCATACTCCAGTTGCATAAATCTGCTTAGATTTATGAGTTTAAATCTTGTCACAGTTTTTAAAGGTACAGTTTAGGACACTCTGTTTTTAAGCTGAAGCATTAGGAGGGTGACATGAACTGACATTTTTGGCTGTTGGCTAGATGATTTGGGGCAACTGAGAAACAGTTTTGGGTCCTGGGAGTTCTAGTGTTGGTGGCCTTGGAGCAGAAATAACTGTCAGCACGTGACATTCACGTGTAGGGTTCAGTGGGGATTTTTTTAATGTTAAGTATTTTCATTTCCTCGTTGCTTTCCTTCCTCCCTCCCCTACAAGTAACACATTTATTTGCCAATAGGTCAAGGAAATTAAAAAGACTTCCTCGGGCTTGGAGGTCTCCATGGTTACTTCAGTTCCTGGTAGGAAACCCATCATGACCACGATTCCAGATGTTGACTGCCTCCTCTGGGCCATTGGGCGGGACCCAAATTCCAAGGGCCTGAATTTAAACAAACTGGTAAGCCGATTTAATCTGCCCAAAACATCCTTGAATCTCTGAGTAGCCCTGTCCCCGACCCACCCAGCCCCCCCAAATTTTGGTGGGTTCTATTGGATTTTTTTTGTTCCTTGCATTCAGTTTGTCCCCAAACCCCATTGCTGCTGCTTTAGAGATTATCCTTTTTAGTGTCACCAGCCTAGATCAGGTCCCTGCCACCTCTAATCTGGATTGTCGAGCAGCATCCTGACTGGCCTCTTTCTTCCAGATTTCCTTTTTACTGTGATACTTGTCCCTTTAAAGCCCTGTAATTATTCCCTGTGGTCTGCAACACTAATCCTGATGGCTGGGTGTATAAATCGTCTGGACATTGTGGCACTTGGGGATGGAAACAGATGTGAAGCTGATCTACCAGTGTTATAAGTAGCATTCTTATTTGCACTTTTAAATTTTGAAGGAAAGTCTAGTGGAGTAGCATGGGGCGTGGGTCCCAGAGTTTGACCCAGTTTTGAACCTTAGTTCTGTTACTTGTCAGTTGCATGGCCTTATTAAACAAGCAGCATAATCACTCTGAAGTTTGAATTGCTTCATGTAAATATGGGTATAATAATAGTGCTTGCCTCATGGAGTTGAAGAGAAGAATAAATGAGAAAGTGCCTGCCAGGTAATTAGCTGAGATTCCAGCTTATCGTATGAACTCAATAAATGTTAATCAGCTGCTGTTGGTGGTGGTGGTGATTTTTTTGAGATGCTGTACTACTCTTCTAGTAATAATAGATATTTTACGTGTTTGAGGTTTATACATTTGATGGAGCCTCTGGAGAAGTTTGTAATATTTATATTTTATCTTCTAATATTAATATCTGTTATAATATAGATTCCTTTTTCATTTCTATAAAAGGTATAAAAAAATAAAATATCCAGGGAGATGTTTTCCTTATTTTTAATCTTATTGTTCAGTGAAATTTACTGAAACTATTTTCATATTAACAAGACTGGTCATTCAGCCTTTGACCCTTCTAGTGATGTTTGCCTTTGTACAGATATAGGCATTGGCAGGTCCAGTTTTCAACTATATTTGCTGAGTTAAAAAAAAAAAAGGAAAGTCTTCAATCCCATTCAATGTTAAGATCTATATTTGTAATGCAGATGGAATGATTCCTATGTGTAGGTCTTGTCCACATGTTACTAACCTAATTTAATATTGCCACCAGCTCTTTGAGGTGTAAGGATGAGGAAACCAGGAGCACAGAGTTAATAAAATAATTCATGGCCGTAACTCCGTGGAGCCAGGAGAATGTCTGTGTTACCACTGTTTTCACAGTGACTAGGTTAATGCCTCATTTGTACTAGAAGTTCAAATATTTGTTCATAAATAGATGGTTATACAAGGTCTCATAGCTAGTAAATGGCAGAGCTGAGATTTGAACTCAGCTCTATGTGGCTTCAAAGGCAATACACTCTTAAGCACTGAGCTACCTACTTCCTACTTCTGTTCTGTTTTTCACACGGGGTATGTACACCTGGAGTCTAGAAAGCCACAAGATGAGCATGACACATCTTGGGAGCAAAAATTTAACTCAATATATGGGGTAGAGGATTGGTTAAAAGGAACAGGAGTATGTTTTAGAGTAGAACACAACATTTGCTTGGATTTTTAAAGATAAAATGGTAAGCTTCAAACAGCTCTGCTTTTGATGACTGCTTCGGGCCGAGCCCCCTAAGGTGCAAGCTAGGACACTTCAGGAGGAGTGCTGCAGGGGAGAAAGTTGGAAAGCACTGTCCTAAGTGGACTCCATGGGGAGAGCAAGTAACATGTCTGCTAGTTGAATGATTCCTTTTCATTTTACCTGGCCAATTGAGTTGTTCATTGCAAAGTCAAAACCCGTTAAAATACCTCAAAATTAGATAAAATATTTCCTTTTTAAATTAAGCAAAAGATACAAAGCACTCTAGTTTGCAAAGATGTTTTTCATCTTGTGGTTCTCAGACATTCAGGCTAAAGCGGTGCCTAAAATGAGGTGGATCTGAGATTTGATCTGCCATTTTTTTGTAGATAGACCAAATATTTACGTGATGTGCATTCACAATTGTAGGGGATTCAGACTGACGACAAAGGTCACATCATCGTAGATGAATTCCAGAATACTAATGTAAAAGGCATCTACGCAGTTGGGGATGTGTGTGGAAAGGCTCTTCTTACTCCAGGTAACGTTTCTTCTTTTCTCGGGTAAGGGAGGCTCTGTGTCTTGTATAAAACAGCTTTGCTGTTCACAGTCAAATCAGCTTAAGCAAAGCCAAAAGGATGACATGTTATATGATCAAAATGATAAAAAATGTATTGAAATAGATGTTGGTTGGGTGCCTGACATTTTATGAATAATACTCATTTTTGGTTTAAAAGCCCAGCCAGCATGGCTCAGTGGTTGAGTATCGACCTATGAACCAGGAAGTCATGGTTCGATTCCAGGTCAGAGCACATGCCTGGGTTGCTGGCTTGATCCCAGTGTGGGGTGTGCAGGAGGCAGCCAATCAATGATTCTCTGTCATCATTGATGTTTCTATCTCTCTCTTCCTCTCCCTTCCTCTTTGAAATCAATAAAAATATATTTAAAATAAACAAAAATGCTTAGTGAAGACTGACATTTTTATATTGATGATAACAGTCATCCTCTGAAGAACGCTGAAAGTGAGAATCTGGGTTGTGTGTGGTTGACTTTGGGAAGAAGTAATTTAGGGTGGCACTCATATGACTATTTAGTCTTGATACAACCAAGACTGACCCCATCCTCTGAATCTGTATCGCAACCTGCTTCCTGAGCTATCTGGCACCTTTTCAAGCTCTTTGTCCCACTACTCCATCCGCTGTCACTCCATCCCCCTCTGGGACCTCACCAGCCATTCCAAAATGGCCCTGGGTCTTACCTCAGAATAGAAATGGTTGTCGGTTCCATGCCCAGGTTGCCGGCTCGATCCCCAGTAGAGTGCATGTAGGAGGCAGTTGATCGATGTTCCTCTCTCTATCCCTCTCCCTTCCTCTCTCTCTTAAAGATCAATGAAAAAATAGATAGATAGATTGGTAGATAGATAAATAAATAAATAATTTAAAAAATAGGTGTAAATATTAGTGTGAACTGAATATGGTTATAAAGTAGAACTGAAGATGCTCAAAACAAATATAATTTGCTCCATAAATATTGTGTCACAAAACTAATATCCTCATTAAGTAGGTGATTACCAAATGACTGGGAACCTATAAATGTGTCTTTTTTTTTTTTTTTTTTTTTGTCATAATAAGCCTCTGGTTTTGAGTTGTTAACTAAAGCATTGATATGTCTTCATTATATTGAACTAGGTAGTATAATGAGCATTGGTATAAAGCTTTGTCAGAACTAGCATGTTAAGCCAGATGAGCAAATGCTGTGTTAAAATGAGCAACAAACTAACCACGGATTTTAAAATACCTTTGCAGTTGCCATCGCTGCTGGCCGAAAACTTGCCCACAGACTTTTTGAATGCAAAGAAGATTCCAAATTAGACTATGACAACATCCCCACGGTGGTCTTCAGCCACCCCCCTATTGGCACAGTGGGCCTCACGGAAGGTAGGTATTTAAAAAGAAAGGTCATTTACGGTTTCCTGCCTTCCACCCTTACCTTTAAACTAGGTGTCTGTCATCTGACTAAGTCTCCTCAGCCCCCAGCTTACAGGCCTTTTGGTTGGCCTCTTGTCACAGTTCCAGTTTGCTCCCCGACGACTGCCACTTTGAGAGTACAGTTCCTTTTCCCCACACCACCCTGTCTACCTCTTTGGGTTTTTTGTGTGTGTTTTTTTTTAACTAATTACAAATATAAAGAAAAATGATAAAATAGTATAGAGGACTCTTTAATACCCTTAACATTTTTACTTTATCAATTTCTTTCCACACACACACACAAGAGCAGGTCATCCCCTTACAGAAGTACAGTGCAATTTTCAACAAGAACATTTAAATTCATATGGTATTACCTCAGTTTTAGACCTTAGTCTGATTTAGCCAGTTATCTCAAATCATGCCATTTGTAACATTGTTTTTTTCTCTCAAGTCCAGCATTCAGTCGAGGATAACACCCTGCATTTAGTTCTTATACCTCTTTGGTCTCCTTTAACCGAGAGACAAAATTCCTGTCTTTTATCTTTCACGACATCAACATTTATTTTGTAGACTATCACTCATTGTGGTTTTGTTTGGCATTTCTTCATGATTGGATGGAGGTTATGTATTTCTTGCTCTCTTTGATGGGTCAGTGGAATTGTTTAGTTTTTGATCGTGCTTTTTCCCCCTGTACATTATAGATGAGGCCATTTCTAAATACGGAAAAGAAAATGTGAAGACCTATTCAACCACCTTTACCCCAATGTATCATGCGGTTACCAAAAGGAAAACAAAGTGTGTGATGAAAATGATTTGTGCTAACAAAGAGGAGAAGGTATGGGAAATACCCAGTAAGCTAAAGAGGGACTTTAAGGTTGGCAAGGATGGGGGCATTTTGGTGGGGTGGGGAGGGAGGAGACCAAGTAATTAAGCCTTCTCTGATTCAGCTGGTGTGGACCCACTTTTATCTATCTGTCGGTATATTCAGGTTCTTCAGAATGTTTTATTTAGAAAGAAGGTTCTACCACCAACATTAGGGGAAAGGTTGAAAACCACAAAAGGCTCCCTGTCACGGGCCAATAGGCCAGAATAGATAGGAAACTCAAATATATTGTTAAGTGTAAGAATTTAATGCAAGATAAACTTAATATAACCAATCAGTGAAGTAGAGGAAGTTTAGTTAATGAAATTACCTATTTTTGGTTTAACTTTTTGAGGAACTACCAAACTGTTTTCCACAGTGGCTGCCATTTTACATTCCCCTCAGCCATGTATGAGGGTTCCAATTCCTCCACACCCTGGACAGCACTTGTTATTATCATTTTTATTATAGCCATCCTAGTGGATACAAAGTGGTATCTTATTGTGGTTTTGGTTTGAATTTGAACAGGTTGTTTTTTAAAATATATTTTTATTAAAAAATATATATATATATTTTTATTGATTTCAGAGATGAAGGGCAGGGGAGAGAGAGAAAGAGAGAGAGAGAGACAGAGATATGAATGATGAGAGAATCATTGATCAGCTGTTTCCTTCACACCCCCTACTGGGAATCAAGCCTGCACCTGGGCATGTGCCTTGACCAGGAATCGAACTATGACTTCCTGGTTCATAGGTCAACATTCAATCACTGAGTCACGCTGGTGGGGCTGAATAGGTTTTTTTAAGACAGAATTTTTGAAGTAGGTTTTGTTTTGGTATTAGGTCAGCCTATTGGACTTTTCTACAAATTAAATATTGAAATGCAACTTAGCAATATGCTTTGGGAACATGGCTCCACAAGGGACAGTGGTCACAAAACATGGTCCCTGGTTTATAGAAGTCAAGGTCACTTCGGACTGGCAATGCAGAGAATCAGACCAAAGTGAAGAAAGGAAGTGGGTTGGCAGCAAAATGAAGGTCGCTGTTTCTTAACCTTGAATGTGCCTCAGTAGCTTAAGCTTTCCAGATGTTCAAAGAGCAGGGCCCCTCACTTATCTCTTCATATCTGTTATTTCTTCATACCATTTATTATTCATTCTTTTGATAAACATTACCAGACAGTCTAATGAAGACTAAGTACTGGGCTCTAGCTGGTTTGGCTCAGTAGATAGAGCATTGGCCTGCAGAATGAAAGGTCCCTGGTTCAATTCCAGTCAAAGGCACATGCCTGGGTTTCGGGCTCGATCCCCAGTAGGTGGCGTGCAGGAGGCAGCCAATCAATGATCCTCTCTCATTGATGTAGCTATCTCTCTCTCCCTTCTTTTCTGAACTCAATAAAAATATATATATTTTTTAAAAGACTAAGAACTGAGATATGGAGAGGAATAATGTGAAGTTCCTGCCATCATCAGAAACTCTGGTGTTATAAATTCAATTTAGATTACAATATTTAAAAATATTCTCTATAGTGCATATATAATACATGATTTGGGATTTTTTTGTTTGCTTTAAGTTGAGATATACTTTTTATTGTAAAAAGCACATAACATAAAATTTACCATCTTAACCATTTTTAAGTGTACCATTCAGTAACATTAAGTATATTCTTGATTTCTTTTTAAACAAAATATTTTTGTGGCTAAATGTTAGGTTCTCTAACTTTGTTTTTCAATGGACTGGTTACCCTAAAAGTATTTGCTGAAAGTGAACATTAAACTCATAGTTTGAAAATATAGTGAGAAACCTCACTGGAAATGGTGAGGGGAAACCCTTTATAGTCCTTTGTTCAGTCATCCAACATTATGGACTGAGTGCCTCCTAAGGGGAGTGTTTGTGCTTGGCCATAGGGATAGAGTGGGGAACGCAAGCAGATAGGGGCCCCTTCACCTGGATAAGATGGACTGCAACTGTCCGGTCCCCAAATAAAAATAGAACATTGCCGAAACCGGTTTGGCTCAGTGGATAGAGCGTCGGCCTGCGGACTGAAAGGTCCCAGGTTCGATTCTGGTCAAGGGCATGTACCTGGGTTGCGGGCACATCCCCAGTAGGAGATGTGCAGGAGGCAGCTGATCAATGTTTCTCTCTCATCGATGTTTCTAACTCTCTATCTCTCTCCCTTCCTCTCTGTAAAAAATCAATAAAATATACATTTTTTAAAAATAGAACATTGCAGTTGTGATAGAACCATGGTGGAGAATTATTGGTCCTGAGAGATCATTTAGTGATCGTTTAACTTGGTAGGGAAAGAAGTATAGCTATTTAAAGAATACATGGGCTTTAACCCTTAAAAGAGGAGAGGGAAGATTGTCCAGACAGTGAACAATTTGTGCAAAGGCGAGAGCACGCGTAAGTGCTCGGGAGAGAGGGAGGCCAGAGCCCGAGGGAGGGCTGTGTGAGGTGGGCTGTGGAGGGATGCTGAGGCAGCACCACGCAGGGCCTGTGGGCTGTGTCATTAGAGATGTAAGTTTTTTAGAGGTTTTTAAATAGTAGGTATCTTCCTCTTTTGTTTCCCAGGTGGTTGGGATCCATATGCAAGGAATTGGGTGTGATGAAATGCTGCAGGGGTTTGCTGTTGCAGTCAAAATGGGAGCCACAAAAGCCGACTTTGACAACACGGTTGCCATTCACCCTACCTCTTCG